TTAATTTTTCAAATAAGTATCGTAACTCATTAAAAAGTCATAATTAACACTTTTATTGAATCAAAATTTCCCTTTTAGGTAATAAAATGTTTTTATTTCAAGTGTCAACCTGAAAAACAAAATAAAAACATTTTTTTTTGTGTCAAATTAATTTATAAGAAAAATATTTTTTTGTATAAAATTTTTTATTTCGAAACAAAGGGAGCCTAATTGATAAAGTATTTTAATAACGTTCAGTACCAATTATTTATTATTTTTTTTATGTTGTGTTCTTAAACTCATATTCTTTAATGTTAAAAAATACTTTTGGTGATATATTTTGCTGGGATGGCCATAGTAACTCGGGTTCAGGTGGATATTGATGGTTTTTCTGACTTTTAACTTGAGAAATTTGCTCAAGGCCTAAACTCAAATTTTGCCTGAACTTTTTGCCAAGCCTTGGCCCTAGTTTAATTTAAAGAATTTAGATTTTTGGGTTGTTCAAATTTAAATATAAAAAACTTATTTTAGGTTGTCCTAAAGCAAATGTATTTCACCTTTTGATTTTTTTTTTTTTCTCTTCAAAAGATACAAACACGTTAGTTTATGTACAACAAACAATAAAATATAAGCAATATGATTTAATCCAAATGATAATAAAAAAATTTATAATTTTTATTATTTCATATTTATTGCATATTTACATATAGTAGCAATAAAGTTCGGGTTCCTCAAATTGTGAAAATACTTGCTCAAGTCCTGTTCGAATTTAATTTGGACTAACAAATTTTAGCGCAATTCTATCAAAATTTGAATTTATACAACCTAGTTCCATCGGTAGACCACATTAAAGACGAATGTGGAAAATTACATAAAAAATTACAATTTTAATATAAAATAGGGGTATTTTTTTTAAGGTCCCTGATATTATGATTTTATAGTATAAAGGACATTAACTATTTTCATGATATCTAAGGTCCCTCAACATTAATCTAGAGAAATTTCAGTCCCAGAGAAAATTCGATCCAGAGAAAATTCAACCAGAGAAAATTCAACCAGAGAAAATTTAATCCATAGAAATTCTCTGGTCCAAACCAGAGAAATTTCAATTCAGAGAAATTCAATTCTGTCTAAAATTTACCTCTCATTCTAGCCAAAATGAGGTGTGCAGTTCTAGAAACTAAAGAAAGAGAAAATGAAAAACATGAGTTGCAGAGATAAATCTCTCAACAGCAACGGTATACGAACACAGCTCGTTGCCTTGGAGGTGGCATGCACATAATCACCAGGATGAGTATGAGAACAATCAACATAAGAGTTGACTTGATATCTGGAGCTAAAAACAAAACTCATACCTAGGACAGAGAAGAACTAAGAGTATCAACAATCAGAAATACATCACAATGAAACCAGTCCAACTCAAAACTCCATACTTATTTTCAAAATCATAGAGTTTTGATACTTTGAACAATATAAAGTAATGAATGATGATTAAAGTTTTACCACAATATTACTCGGTACTCTAATGTTGATAAAATATAAATATAAATCAGTTGAATTTATCGTTGCTGATAAAAACAAGAATCATTGAAATGCCTATGATATTATCTAGCCATTAGAAACTAACCCAGCCAGCAAGCAACTCACCTACATTTGTCTTAATGTCATGAAATGACTGTTCAATTTGAAGTTTGAACAGAAACATCTCTGTTTGACCTTTCATGGAATTAAATAATCTAAATTCACTTTCCATAATTTTCACTGGGATAAGGCTTAAAACCTTGCAAATGGAAGCTTACCAATATTCCAATGTCATCTCCTTTAATCGGGCTTCAAGCTTTTGAAAAAGGGATGTCTTCTCAAAATCTTGCCCATCATCAGTTGGAAGCAAAGAAATTCTGGACTTCCAAAGAATTTCTCTGGGTTCAACCCAGAGAAAATTTAAATTTTTCTAGTATATAATTTCTCTGGAACTATAAAACTCTGATTTGATCAATTTGTCATTGGTTCTGCTGCTACTGATTCAATCACAATTTCCTACACAAACAAATTAATAGTTCTTCTATGAGTTTGTGATAGATTTTCTTTAAACTTAGGCCTCGTTTGGGAACAGACTAATTTAGTAACTTTTTGGCTATTTGGCTAAAAAGGTAGGTAAAAAAAACTTGTATGTTTGAGATGACTTTTTGGCTAATTACGAAAAGATGTGCAAAAAGTAGAGAGAAAAGATAATCTTTGACTTTTTGGTATGGGTTGTTGGCTTTTTGGCTAATTTAGTAACTTTTTGGCTAATTGGCTAAAATAACCTCTTGCCAAATGAATTTCTTTGGGTTGAACCCAAAGAAAATTCAAATTTCTCTGGTCCAGAATTTCTCTGGATATAAATTTTTTCCAGAGAAAATGAATGAAGAATTTCTCTGAGTCACTTTAAGCCTTCCTCTACTGCTGCCTCTTCCTCAAGCTTCTTTTTCCAATATTCTTCAAGTAGGGGTCCAAATATTGCTTTTCCAGAAGCAGCTGCAATTCTACTAAACCCAGAAAATCAAAAGACATTATATTCAACACTTAGAGAAATTTTGAACCTGAAGATGTTATATTCAACACTGGATATATATATGTGCTGACATTGTATATATATATATGTATGTATCATATATATATATATATACATTTATCAACTCCACTCCACTCTGTTTGTTTACCTAGAAAATCAAATTTGCCAAACTTAGTGCTTTTGTTTTGCTGAATTTGTTTTCTTATTCGCCGGAAAATACCCAACACCAGTACTAGCATCACAGAGGAGAATATCCAGCAGACAAGTCAAAAAAATCAACTCATCTGCAGGATCTGCACGCCGAAACCAACATGTTGCATCTTTCTTCCCCACACACCATGACCACCGATGCAAACCCACAAACAAGCGCTACCACCGGCGCAAAAAGCCGACAGCATCAGAGTATAACCCAGCACTGTCGGTTTGCCATTTCTGCTGCAAAGAAAATTGCTATAAATGATTGGGTACGGAAGGAGAGACAAAGAGGGGATATGTTTAGGGACCTTAGATATCAAAAAATAATTTTGTGGACCTCTTTCATTACGAAAAGTGGAAGAGGGACCCTAGACTAATTTTCCCTATAAAATATGCAATCCATGTCATTTTAATAATTAATATTTAAATTGTGTCAATTTCGGATTTTATATATAAAAATTAAGGACATATCACATATTTTTAGAACTATTTTTTAAAAAAGTTGCTCTTGATTTTAACAGTGTCGATTGACAGAATTAGGTTGGAGAACTAAATTAAAATAATTTTTATATATTACTGATTAAATTGACATATTTTAAATATTATATACCAAAATAACAAAAACCATATATTTTGAGAACTAAAAGTAGAAATAAAACTCAATTAATTTAATTGAATCCAGGTCGTGTACACGACTACTACTCAATTTGACAAGTTTTCATTTTAGAGCGTAAAATAAATAAATAAATAGATTATACTCACCTCTCTGCTCAAGTTTGGAAAAAAAAAATATAATAAGTCCCGTTATTTTAATATAATTATATTGATTTTAATTTTAATAATATTAAAAGGACCAAAATTAATATTTTGGAAACAGAAAGATAAGCAATATAAATATATATAGAGTTAATTATTTAAAAGTCTTATTTACAAATGCTATAGCAACTCAGGTCTTATCTAAGATTTTTTTAACCAATAAATCTTATTTAATAAAACTGAGAATGTTATTAGTTTTTCTCAATTTTCAAAACTAAGAACATTATCAATTTTGCATAGTAATGTTTCAGATAATTATTTTACTAACTGAAAGAAAAAAAACAAAGCATGAGATTAAACGTTTTTGCCTATATACTTATTAGTTTGATTCAACTATTCAATAAAATCGAGAACATTATCAGTTTTTTTCAGTTTTAAAATTGAGAACATTATAATTTTTTTAATATATTTTTTATTTTTTCAATTTTGCACATTAATTATAGATACAAAATTTTTAGTTTGCACAAAAAATAATTCAGTTTTTTCAATTTTTTCAAAAAAAAAACAAATTTTTTTTGAACGTAATTTTTAAAAGTTTTTTTAATTTGAAAGTTGATATTTTAAAGTTTTAAAAATCAAAATAAATGTCAAATTATCATGTTTCTTTATAGATAATCATAAATGGTCAACAATCGTTATTTGAAGGACAATCTTGACTATTAAAAATTTAATAGGACTTGAAGGTTTGAAAAATCTTAATTAGAACTTAATGGAGTACAACTTAAAAAATTAAGACTTATGTTTAAATCCCTCATATATATATATATATATATATAAATATAAAAATTTTCTAACAACATAACAATGGATTATGATGAAAATATAATTAAGTGTTATGTGAATTAAAAACATTTAACATAATTATTTTAAAATTATAAAATTTATGTATTTTCTTCAAAGTTATGTACTCACCTTGTTTGGTTTTGAGTTTTTAAAAATAATTTTTAAAATTTTCAATTCCTATTTTTACATTTTTAATGATTTTTATAAATATTTTAATTAGTTTTTATTTTTTTTAGATCCACTTAATTTTAATATATATTTAAAAAATAAAAAATTTATATAAAAGTCTTTAAAAAATTATTAAATATAAGAAAAATACTTGAGAGCACTAATTAGTGCTCCCAGTAATTAGGTGGCAGTGGGTCCCGCCATGAATGATGTGATGTTTTGGTCTTGGAGTTGTAATTTTTTTTTATTTATTTTTTATTTTTTTAATGCATTAGTGCTATTAGTGGTGATGTTTTTAGTGGGATGAATCATTGTTGTAAATATAAAACATTACAAAAATATATTGCATTTTTATATTTTAAAAAAAATATTAAAAATAAAAAATATAAAAAACTCAAATTTCTAAAAAAATTGAAAAATTACAAATACATGAAATAACAGAAAAAATTTACACTATAATTTTGACACACCAAGCACAAATATATTTACACAATGCAAATAGTAAAATCACACCATAACGAAAATTTATTTATTTTTCCACTGAAATATGATTTCTCCTTTTTTAATTACTTGGGGAAATGAAATCCTCGGGAAACAGTTTTCCAGAAGGGAAATCATCCATAGAAGGCGTGAATTATAGTGCTAACAATTTGTGAAACACCGTAGTTTGATGAGCAACATAGATAGATATATAGAGAATAGCAAGTGAAGAAGAAGAAGAAGAAGAAGAAGAAGAAGGATGCAGAGGAGGAGGAAGATGAAGCCCAGCCTCAGCTTCTTTACCTTCTCCTGATACAATTAATGGCCAATTCTCAGCATCGCTGCGTTTTTGGTTCCTAACTCTCTTTTTCTCCTTCTCTCTCTAATTCTGTTTCTTTCATAGATAGAGATAACCAATTAATTAAGCTCCGTTTGGTTATCGAGAAATCGCAGAAGAAAACGAAAGAAAATGCATCATCCTTTTAACCCTAACTTATTAGAGGATTCATATTTTCAAATTTCCTGATGTTTGTTTGGTTCAATGTCGTGGCAGTTGGTAATATACCCTATGACGCCTCTGAAGAACAGCTTATACAAATCTGCGAGGAGGTTGGGCCTGTCGTGTCCTTCAGGTAAGCTTTTTGTGAAAAGAAAAAAACTATTATTGAAAACCCTAGAATTTGTTCTGTTCAAAACAAAGGTGTGGTTTCTTTCAGTATCGGCATATTTAGTATGGTGCCATTTAATTTAGGATTGCATCTGAGTTGTTAGTTAATGAAGCAAATTCGAGTTATTTTGCTATATACATCTTTCGGTTCAAACAACGATGCTGATGGTTGGCTTTTGGAAACTACGAGGGTAGTATGACAAAGTTGAGCAATTAATGTTATCGACTGATGTTTCTTTGAATGTTACTGGCATGAATACTGAAGTTATTTTGCTGCTGTCATTTGCTGATGAGTACCTATAGTTGTGTCAACTCGGAAATGGAGTAAGGCTGATTTTCCATTTGTAAGGGGTTGGGGATAGAGTCATAGAGGCTGAGGTACAATGGCACTGGCTTTTGGGGAGGGTGGAAGGGTTCTGTTGTTGTAGTATTCATGCAAAAGTTTACTAGCCAAAAAACTGAAGTGTTGTGCAAAATAGAAATTCCAAATACGGGGCTACTACATTAACTGGAGCCTTCAGGCAGCATTGTGGAAAATAGATATCTCAGGATAAAGTTTGGACGAGGCTAATCTTTGGAATTTGGCACCTGCATTAATGACCATGTGTTATTTTTTGTATGTACAGAATGCACCAGGCAGGGTAAGTGTTTGTTTGTTTATTTGTTATTTTTTCCAGATAATCAATCACATGGTTATGCTTATCTGCAAGATGGGTGATAATATTGCCTCCATAGGTAGACATTCTTGTTTTGTCAAGCCATAATATGTTAACTCCAATGGGAGTTATCTGACCCTGGTCTCAACTGGAAGCTCCTACCCCCTCTTTGGGATAACAAGTTGGCAACTTGCCAATGAGCACCTTAATATTTTGGAAAGCTTTAAGTGGTACTCTGAGATGGGGACTGCTCCATTCCTTCTATCAAAACAGGGCTACTGTGCCGAGTCTTAGTAGACGATAATAGGATTGGTCAAAGAAGACCTTTTGCTGTATTTTTTTGAGTCTTATGACTCTAGAAAAGGGACCTGAGTTGATATTGAGTGAAGTAAGCGCCTAAGACGGAACTGCCTTGATGACGCGGCACACATACCTCTGATTGGTACTGGAGACTACCACTGTCTAATTGATGCATATGAGTGTAATGAAACTTAATCAAGTGCTTCCCATAAAAGGATGCAAGGTGGATTTGAGTTGGGTAAGAGGGTAGTTTCGTGGACTAACCCATCTGTTTTGTTCAACCCAACACTCTTTAGACAAGCAACTTATTTTCCTTCTATCTTATGAAAGTGGCAAATGCCTGTTCTTTTTAACAAGATTTCTAGAGATAAATGTTGAAGGTCTCTTTGTTTTGTGTTGAAGGGATATGTCACGCCCCTTAGTAAATTATTTTGTATCTTTAATTTCTCTTTTTCTTTAAACGACAGCGATTTGCATGTTTATTTGATTCCTTTTTGTCTCATTCAGATTAGTTATTGATAGAGAAACTGGGAAACCAAAAGGTTATGGATTCTGTGAATATAAGGATGAAGAGACAGCTTTAAGTGCTCGCCGTAATCTCCAAGGGTATGACATCAATGGCCGGCAATTACGAGTTGATTTTGCTGAAAACGATAAAAATGCTGACAAAAATCGAGAACAGGTAGATATTCAGATTTCTTGCAAAACAAAACATTTCTTTTATCATTATTACCATTGTCATCATAATCTTGGAAGCATGGTATAGGGACCTGTTTACTTCATTTGCATTGAATGACTTTCTACTTTATGAGTTTGAAATGCTAAGGTACACGAGTCATTGTTCCATATGTCAATCTCCTGTCTGAATGCTCTGACATGGATGGGTAATGAGTTATTTATTTCGTTTTATCATTGTTTAGATTGACATCATCTTGCGTTAGACGGATCTGCATTTTAGTTAGCTGGTCCAAAATGACATGAAATTGATATGTGAATGTTTCCACCGATTAATTTGTGGTGGCAGGGGTTTAGGATGTTGCTCAATGCTTCAATTGTTGAAACCCCAGTGTAAAGGCTCTCACTGCCTACATATTTACAACACATGTAGAAGTTGGTCACTAGGTCTTTGTCACAGTGTAAGAGAAGCTAATATTGCTGTCAATTGGATGTCTGACAATGGTGCTTTTGGATTCTGCATGCACACACTTGACTCCCTGCCTGAATATTATGATTTTGTTTTCTGTACATGAAAACTTAGCTTTTGTTTTTTATAGGTTGGAAGCATAGTTGTCAAATCGAGATTTGTATCGTGAATCGAAATGACCTTGTACCGAATCGTGAATCGAATCGAATCGTGAATCGTAAAGATTCGGTCACTTTTTAAAAATTACTTAAAAATATATATTTACACATTTAGATGTTAAATATATCTTGTGAATATAAAATATTTAGACTTAAATCAATAAAAATGTTATTTTGAATGATAATCACGTATTTTAATAGGTAAAAAGCTAACAAAATTCTTATGTAAGATCACCATCATACTTTTTTTCTTTTTAGATATTTCTTATCAACCATTCTTAATAAAAATAATAACCAAATAAACAAATTATCAATTTCTAAAATAACAATAATTAACAACGATATTGATATTTGGACAATAAGCATACATACTTTTCTAAGTAACTAAAACATTTTCAAAGATATAACTGACCTCACATATGTAATATTCAATTATATTCAATTTAATAAAATAGCAATAAATAATTCATAGTGTAACTTTAATCTTAAACATCTTTAGAAGATATAGTATGATTTTTCAAAGGGGAAAAAAATGAGAAGAAATGTTAAAAATATGTTGGGTCTGACTGAATCTGATTGGATTTTATTGAAAACTTCATGATCACTAAAATAATAACAAATTATGTATATATGTTGATTATTTTGGTATTAAACACTATTAGAAGTTGTATTATGTCATTTTCACTAAAAATATGGAGAAAGAAATAGTTGAAAATATATCAGACACAATAATTTAAAAAATTAAATGAATCGTAAAAAGTGAATTGAATCGTGAATCGATTGTGAAATCGTGCGATTCATTAGAGATTTACTTCCAAAATAGATTCACCTATAGATTCGTATCGATTTTGCAGGTAAGATTTTATGTTATTTGTATATATAATATATATTTAATATGATTTAATAATATAAATTACTTTAATATCATGTAATTACTAATAATTTATATGCATATTTAATATTTTTATATATCTATATATATAATTCGGACTTCAGGTTGCTCGGGTTGTTTGACGTCTTTACCCAAGCCCGCCCAAATTTAATTCGGGCTTCTGAATTTTTGCCCAAGCCCGTACCAAATTTGAAAATATTTTGTCCAAGCCCTAAAAAAAATCGGGCTAGGCTCGGGTTGCTCGGGTTGAGCCCGCCCAAGTTGCACCCCTAGGCCTAAGCATCAGTGTGTTTATATAAGTGCACACACAGATATATGTTGATGGTGTTATTTATTAAAAGAAAAAATATGGTTGCTGATCTTTTGCCATTAGTTCAAGATAAAATAAATTAGTTCACCATTTTCTTAGAACTGGAGGAGAATAGAAACAACACTAAGTACTTGCATACCACATCTACTTGTTGAAGAGGGATGCAGGGGCTTTCTAGAACAGCGAATCCTTCAGGGGCTCCATATACTTTATTTTCTTGGTAATTAGCCAATTCAATTCCCTTCCCTAAGAGTGTGATGAATCTTCAAATATTTTTTTTGATAATTGGGTAGCCGGATAAACCTCGACTAATCCAGAGGCCCTTGCAAAGCGGCCCCCCCACGAGTTGGGAAAATCTTTGGCTGTGCTTGCGGCCATGGCCCCAAAGGGATTGATAGCACTCAATGGGAGTCGAACCTTAAACCTAATGCTTCATGAGGCACCAAGGGCCAAGTGACTGACCACCAAGCCAATCCCTTGGGATTGTGATGAATCTTCAATTGCCACGATTTTTTCGAAAATTCATTTGCTTGATGAAGAATCATCTTATGAATGTTTTGTCTTTAGGCTATTGAGTAATAGGAGGTGTCAAATGTTATATTCTTTTGTGAGTTTGACATAGGAATGATTGCATTTTGTGCAGGGTCGTGGTGGACCTGGGATGGTTGCAAATGTTGGTTAGTTTCCTTTCTTCCCCCCAATTTTGGCAACATTTAGTTTCGCTTTTGCATTAATATAACCTGGAATTGTTTTCCTTAACCCGTGGATGTAAAACAGACCCTCCAAAGCAATTTGGTGGTCCAGCGATTGTTGGGAATTCTGGTTTCTACCAGCCTATTGGTCTCCAAGTAGCTATGGCTGCTGCATCCCTCATGGCAGGATTGCTTGGAGGTGCTCAGGCTAGTAGGGAGTTGAATCAAAATGGTTTGCAAGGTCAGCTGACAATATATAGTGATCCTTTAACTCTTCATCTGGCCAAAATGTCAAGGAACCAGCTAAATGAGGTTATGTCTGAGCTGAAGGTAAGCATTTAACTAAAGTTCAGCTGGCCTTTATGAATAACTTCAAATGTATGGTATATAGTTTTATTCTCAGTACTGGTGACAGGTGATGGCCACACAAAACAAGGAACATGCTCGTCAGCTATTGCTTTCAAGCCCACAGTTTCCAAAAGCTCTTTTCCAGGTTGTTATCTGCCCTTTTATGGTTCTTTAAATTTAAAAAGACATCTCATGATTCTTGCTAGCCATTTATTCTCTGGATTAGGGCATTATTTCTGTATTTTATGCTTGTGTTTTTGTACATACATCATATGTGTGCTAATGAGATGGTTGTCTACTACAGGATTTGTTCTAAACATTTTACACTTAAACTCTTGTTCAGAAACATGGGGGGAATATGTGGAGATCTTAGCATTGAACCTTCCACCTGACAAACGAGCCTTATTAGTCATCCACTCATACAATTTCCTTATCCACATCATCCTTGTATGTGATGACTGGATCTTCCTCAGAGTATATTTCATTAAAATGTAAAGTAAATTTGTGCTACAAAATGGAGCCTATTGGACTGAAACTGCTGCTTGATGAGGGTGGGGAAAACATTGGTCCTGTATGGGTTAATGCATCCAATTTCATTTCTGTAGAAACCTAATGCTTGTGCCTTTATGCATTTAGTTGGCACAAGTAAAAAATGCCAAATAGATCAAGAAGATAAGTGTGAAAAAGGTGAATGAAGTCAGGAAAAGATAAACATGAAGAAGCACTCTCTCCTCTCTCCAGCGTCATCTTATTCCATTTTTTATGGATGTCCATGGTGTATGTGCTCTCATAATAAAGGCTAACCACTTCAAGTTGACATATTTGCATTGATGTTTTCCATCCAATTTCATATACAGAAAACAAACTACATAACCATCCACCACATTATAGCTGGACTAAACAATTGACTGATCACAAAAGTTCAAATGCTCTGTTGTGTTTCTGCAAAATTAGGCACATGGGACAAAAACGTTCATGATTGGTTCATATTTTGCTTCTCTATTTTAAAAAATGCTTATCCAACCTTTCTACTTTATAGCCTCCTGCTGCAGCTCCAATCTTGGTGAAGCCATACTGAGCAGAACTAGTGCCCCCTACCCAGCCTTCTGTAACCCAACTTAGAACAAGATTTTCCTATCCTATAAGGCAGTAGTTATTCAGAATTTTAATTCTTTTAACTGCACAAATTCTTATCTTATGCGTAGGTACCAAATTAGGTAAACACTACTCTCTCTCTCTCTCTCTCTCTCTCTCGCTCTCGCTCCAAATTGTTGTGCATTTGTGGTTTAGTCATTACAGTATTCCATTTGGAAGAATGGAAGTCTATTTGTTTGCTTTTCTTGGTAATTATCTAGATAAATTTGTGCATGATATGTTGAGCTTGATTGGCTTTTGAAGTTCCATGTTTCTTCATTCTCCCAGATATAGGATTCATAATATCTCAAGCGTATTTAATTTTGCCTGTATTCTTTCTTCATTAAAATTTAGTTACGACCTTGCCATTTACATCATCTTACATGTTTGTGTCTGACTTTGAATGTAGGCACAGATAATGCTAGGAATGGTTACCCCACAAATGGTAATTACTTCAAGTTTTGTGTTATACTGTTGTTATTTGCTCTCCAGTGATGGATATGTCTGACCCAAAGACATTTACTTTCCATCAAACTATGCAGTTGCAGATGCCAAATATTCTGCAGACTTCAGTTTCACTTGCACAGCCTTTATCACAAGATGATGCGGTTCCAACTCTTCCTGGCCTACCCCCTTTTGCACAGAACAAAATGCAGTTTGGGTTGATGGCCAGAGTACAAGAAGCTCAAGTGTCTTCTCTACGTCCAAATTCTATGGCTCACAACCAGTATGCTGATGTACTGCAACTTCCTACACAGCCTCGAGTTCAGGTTCCACAACTAGTCCGAAACCAAATGTTTGAACAAGGCATATTGCCAGGCCACTCTGGAATTTCAACACTTCCATCCATACGCCCACTGACTTTGGGGGGTGTGTCTACTAGACCACCAAATCTAGTGGCACCTTCATCTTATTTGAAGCAGCAAATGCAACCAACTTCGTTACAGCACCAAGGACAGGCTGGAGCTGTTAATTTCGGGCATAATGGTCAGCTCGTCGCTCCAAATACAACATTTCTGTCTTCCCTTTTGATTCGTCCACTGTTATCAGATCAGAAGTTTCAGGTGCAAATTTATGTTATTAAGTGTCCATAATGAAAGACAGTCAAACATTATGTCTGGTGGAAAAGATTCTAGGAATCCCTGTATGGCCTATAGTTTAAAATATATATTTAACACTTTCAATGGTAAAACCTTGGCCTAATAACCTTGAGGTATGGGTTCAAGTCACGGAGCAACCGCTTTGTGCACTATGCCAAAGGTTAGGTGTATACCCTATCTTTTCCCTCTCAAAAACACATTAATGTGTACTAATTAGGCGTTATTTTTTTATTTAACATTATCTGTATTCTCCTTGAAGAATAGTCTTGGGTCCAATGCATGCTTTTTTCTTAGGTGGGCTACAGCATAGAGTATTATAAGAAAAATTGATGTATATTATTGATTGATTGTATTTGTGTAGATATTACAATTACAAGGATTCCTATTATATAGGAGTGTGTTTGGGAGTAGGTGGAGAGTAGGTGAAGTGGAGGTGGTAGTGGTGTAGTGGGTTAGGTTTAGTGGAGTAGGTGAGGTGGTAGTGGTGTAGTGGGTTAGGTTTAGTGGAGTAGGTGAGGTGGTAGTGGTGGTAGGTTTATGGTAAATTCTAACAAGTATTGATGTAACTCTTTATTTATTTATTTATTTCTTTATCCCTGGAAGAATATTCAATAGTCTTGCAACGGCAGCTTGGATGTTTACCTGAAATTAGCAAATGAAAACTAAAAACAAATTAAGGTAAATAAGAATGTCTAACAGTATTTGATTGGCTCAAATTAGATTGAAATGCATGACTTATCTTTTTGATATCTTTTTAATTGTTGAAATGCTTTAAAATCCTGACAAAAATTGCACTTACTATGACTGAAAAAGTAAATATGTTTGACAGTCCCTTGATGTTTGCCATTGAACAAAATGTACCAGCCACTGGGCAGAGCAATTGCTTTGGTTTTTTTGTTTTGCCTGCTTGTAGGTTCTATCATAAGTATTTTTATTAATTCAAAAGTAGAGTTAATTTTCGGCATTTGTTTCCTTTTCTACTAACAGCCTGGCACCTCAATATTATCGGGTATTCCTTGATATGATAAACAAGGATGCTGATAGAACAGCACAGGGTACCAATGTTTCAACTTGGGTCCACAAAGGTGACACCTATTCAAGCTTGCCTTCAGGATCATCTGAGAAAGCAAACATGGTCCACGACACTTCAGATCCATTGAGACGCCCTTCAAAGCTGCTAAAATTGGATGATGGAAGGAGTATGTCCTTGGCAATGGGAGTAAATATGTCAACCTCTGTGTCTGGGCAATCCCAAGTTTCAGGTGCTGCCTCGTTTGGGAACCAAACCCCCAAAGCAGAAGAAGCTCCTCCGGTAATATGTTTCTCATTTGTGACATTAATAGTTTACATCCATTTATTGTGGTTTATCAACCCATTGTTCATGCATTTGCTGGTTGTGCTCTTGAAATATAAGCTTTGTCATTGCTTAATGCTAAGAGTGATGGGCATTGCAAGTCACTGAATTTTCATTGTATTAACTTCTTCATTTGATAGTGAAGAGCAAATCTTTTCAGGGATATCGAAAGGCCAAAATTTTACTTAAATGGCCAAAATGTATGACCCAAACAATAAATTTTATATAACAAAACCCAAATTTTCTATTCACCCAAAAAACAAAAAAAGTGCCTTTCAATGCATCAAATTATCACAACACACAACTCTGGAACATTTCATCAAACATCATGTAAGCATATAGTTTACGACAAAACCTATCTGTTCACCTATTATAATAACTAGTTTGTATATTAGAATTAATGATCCTTTTGTGAAGGATTTAATGTGGTCAGACATTTTACATACACTTGTGAAAGTATAAAAATAGAAAATAAAAAATAAAGGTGATGAATGAAGATCGGTGAGTGCTAAATCTTTTCATGAATGAAAACCAAGAAATTGGCCAGTGTTGTTGAATCGTGATGTGTGTCATAAAGTATAAAAATAGAAAATAAAAAATAAAGGTGATGAATGAAGATCGGTGAGTGCTAAATCTTTTCATGAATGAAAACTCAAGAAATTGGCCAGTGTTGTTGAATCGTGGTATGTGTCATTTTTTTTATCGTGTGATACATTAAATCAGATAATATATAAATAAGTATTTCATGCAAGAATGAAGTACTGAATTGTATAACCAATGAAATGAAAAATTCTCTCTTAAGAAATTTACTAATTGGTCAAAGAGGTAAATTATACATTCATTGAAAACCTTGGTATCTAACTCAAAAGAAATTAGGAAGAAAATTGAAAATTTAATAAAATAAAAGATAAATGATATTTGTTCGCAAATATAAAAAATACAAAATTTTCTCTCAATCGGGCCCAACTGCTTTGATCTCAGGTTTATTTGGTTCATGATTTGCAACCGAAGACATTCTTTGGGACTTGTTTGAATATGAATGATCCCAAAAAAACATGCTACATAGTTTATTGCCATTGTCCAAACAAGCCTTTTGGCCCAAATCTTGAACCTAAATTCAAACTCAACAGTTTGTGTGTGTAAGCTCTTTGTTTCTTTCACTGAATTAGATCCATGAGGGTAGTTCAATTTCTTGTAGCAAAGAGAGTATGCCAGTTCTGTTTTGTCGCGAGTTTATGTAGATTTGGGAATATTTTGTTGTAGTTCAGTTTCTTGTAGTAAGAGAGTATGAGAGTTATTTTTTCTTGCGAGTTTATGTAGATTGGGGGTATCTTTTTGTATGAGGTTTTCTAAGAATATGGCTCATGATTGTTCACCGAGTGTCGGCCATTGGATTGGCCTAAAAATCATGTCTCATATATTCTTTTTTGGGCAAATTACATATACACCCCTCGAGGTTTGGCTAAATTACAAATACCCCCCTGAGGTTTGAGAAATTACGAATTCCCCCCTGAATGCTATATTTACATAAGAAATTAGGGGGTAATTTGTTATGAAATATAAACCTCAGGGGGTAAATTGTTATGAAAATACAAACCTCAGGGGGCGGGATGTAATTTCCGAAACCTCAGGGGGGTATCTGTAATTTTACGAAACCTCAAGGGGTGTATATGTAATTTGCCCTTTTTTGTTTTTTTTGGCAGCATATTTGACAGTGCCATGTCCCCTCTTCACTCATTGAGGTAGGAATTTCTGGTGTAAACACTACTACGATGGAATTTTAGGAAAATGATGTTGATTGGAACTTTTCATTGTCACAACTATAGTGATACGGTTTGATTAAGGCTCAAATTATTATGTATATATTAGTGTGTAAGTTGTTTCAAGAAGTTCTGTATATTTATTTTAGGCTAGACACAACTTTTGTTCATCAAGCTCTTTGCCTCCTTGGTTGTTGAAATTGTTTATGTACTAGAATTGTTTTCTATATATTATTTTTTGCCTCCTTGGCAGTTGAAATTGTGTATGTACTAGAATTATTTTCAATATATTATTTTCTGGTTTGTGTTTGGTTGAGAGTTGCTGCATTATGTTGTTAGGGGTTTGGATCCTCTTACAATTCAAACTTCAGGAACTTCGCTAACTGGTAGTTTTAGTTTTATTTTACGACGATAACTATGCCCCATAACTGCTTATGTATGCATCACCAAAAAGTGCAGATGTGAATGACACTAGTGCTCTTTCATTTTGCCAGAATGGCAGAATTCAGTTCATATTGAGCTCATCTGTATATCTTCTATCGTATATACGATCCCGGACATTTAAAACTTGCCATTCTCAAATACCACCGAGTTTTCCATATGGTGAAACTCCAACAATTTTTTTGTTTTGTTAATTATCAGCACAGTAGACCACATTCATGGCGGACAAATGGTGTTGTGGCTCTTCACCCTTGACCTGAAGTAGTTTTTTTTCCCTCTCTGCTACAGGTGCAGCTTCCTCCTGAGATGGAGTCCGCCTTACTCCAGCAAGTGCTGAGTCTCACCCCAGAGCAGTTGAGTTCACTGCCTCCAGATCAGCAGCGACAAGTCATTCAGCTCCAACAGATGCTTCTTCGGTAAGTTCAGTTCCAACCTACCTACCTACCTACCTATTGGACAGGTGACATGTGATCAGATTCCCAATGAAGCCACTATAATCAGCCTGGTCTAATTTTTTATTCTTTCGAAGTTCCTAGGTTGAGGACTGGTCATTATTGTCAATCAATTTTAAGTAGTAAAATGATAGTTTACACAAGTTCGAGCTGAGGATCTTAGTTGCCCAGGGAATTAGTACATAATGTGATGGTTACAAGCTTGTGATACAAATGTGAATCAATTAAGAGAAAAAAAAATTGGGGGTATGTCCTCATTTCTAGATATATTCGAAATATTATTGGGCCCAAGGATTGGCTGATCTGGCTTGACCTTAACATGTATGGGCTGGGCCTTGCCCCACGAACTGGCCCATAAACTAGCAAATATACTTTTCAAAGATCGACCCAGAACTCGGCCCATAGACTCATATGAAAAATGCCCATATTAACCACATACACACTAAAGTAATATATATATATATATATTTTTTGTACGTGTGCATTTTTAGCAAGACAACAAAAATAAAATTAAAAAATTAAGCGAGCAGCAATTTAATGGATGCATACAATTTTGGGCAAACCTCACATTACCTCCTTATAGTTTGGGCGGCCATGTGTGGTTTGCCTCCTTAACATTTGGAAATAAATAATCATATAATCTTCATGTGGTTTGTGAATTAAAACGCATATTAACTTTTGTTAATAGAACATGTAAATTGACCATTTAACCCTCATTTTCTTTCTCTCTTCTGAATGAAACCTATATATATATATATGTGTATTCTTTATTCTTCCTCCCATTGTTGCCAACTATAGCAAATTCAATCCTAACTTTAACAAGCACCCAAGCAGCACCTGCACACCAGCAAATCTCTTTACCAATTCTCATTTATTCATGTTGCTTTGGCACTAATAATGATAATAACACACTGCTTTCACTGACCTAAACAAATTATCTCTATTGTGTGTTGTGAAAGAATTGTTTTTTATCTATTAAATACAAAAATATATATAGTTTGGCAACAAAGAAGTATTAGATTTAGACAACTAAAATCAAAGAAAAATAGATAGAAAAAGAGGTTGAGAGATTGATGTGTCGCCGGACGAGTGGAAGACCAAATATGGGTATTAGCCCTTTTAAGAGGTTGTAATTGATTAAATATTTTTTGAACTAGAAAAAAAGAAAAATAGAAACACAATAGAAGAAAGAAAATTTTTCGGATTCCATGGTGCTACCGGCATTTAGTGGATTTCATATAATTTTTTTTGTGTTCATGAGTGACCCCTCCGGCATTCTACCATTTTCTCGACAGGGTGCAGTGTATGTGGGTTGGTGAAGTGATTATGCAATGAGAGTGGTTTGATCATGGGAGAAGCTAGAAAAAAGAAAAGAAGAGAAAGCAGGTCAAGAAAAAAAAAAGGGGGAAAGAAGAGGAGGTGCTAAATAGCTGGGATGAAAGGAGTAGAGGGAAATAATTGAATGGCATTATTTATAAATTTGAAGATCTCAGGGGCATTTTCGTCTTAAAAATAGTGGTACTCTCCCTACAAGTGCATGAGTTTGACAATGTGTTATCTTGAACGAAAAAGTTAATTTCTTACAAATTATATAAGAATCATGTGGTCATTTCTAAACCTTAGGAGATAAACTGCACATGATCAAAATTACATGAGGTGAAGTGAAATTCAGCCTATAATTTTAATACATTAATGGCATGTTTGATTGGGTGGATTAGAACATGGGATTGGGATTATTAATCCGTGGGCCCAATTATCCTATGTTTGTTTTAACATTTTAGTTTAGAATTATTAATCCAATGGATAATTAATCTATCAAATTTGTAGGATTATTAGTAATGGGGTAGGAGTGAGATTATTAATCCAATGGATATTAATTCAATTGGATAATGAATACCACACTAATTTAATAGGATTATTAATACTTCACTATTAATCTTGTGAATCAAACATGACATAATAGATGTATTAATGCAATTTTATATTTTAATAATCATTGTTTAGTTTAAAAAAATGATTGTTGGAGGCTTTTAATCTTGATTTCTTACTGTTGCTTGCTGCCAGTGCCATGCATGATGCAACGGGGCGACTTTTAATAGATGTAGCGATTGTTTTATTTTTATTATCAAATATCAAAATCTAATTGTTGTGAACATTTTAAAATATTATATTACAATTTAAAAAAAAATAAAATTTGAATTTAATAAAAAAAAAAACTCAAATTTTGGCTAAATTATGTCCAAATGCGCCAAGTCGGACCTTAAACTCATAAATTTGTTAAGCCCACAAGTAATTTGACCTAATGATATTGACGTTTCTTTTAATAAGGTTAAAATGATCCTAATTAATGTAGATAGTATATCTACACAAGACAAGTAATAATAAAAGAGATGATATCATTATTTTGTTCATCTATATGATCAGTGAATTATGTTAGAACAGAGGACCAAGTTTTATGTAGATTAACACTTTTAAAGAATCTAATGTAATTATGTTAAACTTGTGAGATTTGATATATTTTTTTCTAAGCTACAAGAGAGTTTGGTGTAATTTACCTAATTTTTGAACATAAACTCCCCAAAAAAAATTAATCATAAAAATACCAAAGGGGCACATGGCAACATGTTTGGTGTAATTTTTTTTTTTTTTTCACAAGTCACAAATTACTCATCAAAAAATAGAAATTAAAAATATCCTTCCCATCCCTTTCAGATGATAATAAGGTCAAGTTTGGGAAGACTAAAAAAGTGCACTTTTTGTCTTTTTAAACTAAAAAATTGAGGTTGAAAATATGGATGTTTGGGTTAACTTTTTGACTTTTTATTGAAAAATGTGTAATAAAAAATTGTAAAAATTGATTTGTAGGGAAAAATTTGAATTGGGAGTTGTGCAGCCGTAATTGTTGACTTTTACTGAATAGTGTTAACTTTTTAACTTTTTGAGTAACTTTTTGACTTTTTGACTTTTTTAGAAGTACCCAAACTTGGCCTAAATTTCAACTTATTTAACTTGCTTGTGAATTCTCTCTCGAGCAGTGCTCTCGCGTGGTGAGGTGAGCTTTTCTTTTACTGTTCCGGTTTCTATTATTGTTCTGTCTTAATTGTCCTTTTTTTTTGGCCACCGAGTAATGTTAGTGGTATTAAATTTTTTACTAAATAAATGATTAATGTTGTGTTTAGTTAGAAAATTTAGAGAGGGATTTGAAAAGAAAAAGAAAAAAAATATGTGAAATTATATGAAATGTAAATATATTTTATTCATATTTCACGTATATTTTTTATTTCCTTTTTCAAATCCCTTTTTAAATCTCTAACCAAACACACTATAAATGTCTCACATGAGTGTAAACCCTACATCTGTGTAAGTCATATAATTATGTATTTGATAAAAAATTTAAATCTATAACATTTTCCGTTTGCCACCTATTTCTATATCTTTCTTTTGCTTCTGGTGTGCTGATTGGTGTGATAGTGTGTGTTCGCCACCTATTTCTATTTCTTTCTTCTGCTTTTGGTGTGCTAGTTGGTGTGATAAGTTCCATTTGTTTTCAGACGTAGAATAGAGAGAATTTATAGTGAGGAAATTGTTAATAAGCAAATTATTAATGAAGGAATTAAATAAAATTATATTTGTTTTGATGATAGTTATTAGTGTAGGGATTATTAAATTATTTTTATATAAAATAATAGAACAAATAAAAAAAATATAAAAACATTAAACATTAAACATTAAACATTAAACATTAAACATTAATGTTTTAAAAAAAATGCCCAATATGTAAAAAATTTTAAAAAAATAATAAAAAAATAAAAAATTTCCAAAATAAAATAAAAAAAATAAAATAATGATTTTTACTTAACAAAAAATTAAACATTAATGTTCAAAAAAATAAAAATAAAAACACCCAACATGTAAAAAATAAAATAAAAAAATAAAAATAAAAATTTCTAGTCTGACGGACTATTTTTCTAATATCAAGTTTTGGAGGTCCATCTGAATCCCCTCCCAAGGGGATTTATAATCCGGAGCTCACTATCAATCCCCTCCCAATCTCTCAAAATAAACACAATATTAATGAATTTCACCTCACTACCAATTCCAATCCTCCAAGTCCAATCCTCATGTAGCTCTCCAAACAAACGGGGCAGTGTGTTGATTGTGGGGGAGCTATTTTTCTACTTTTTCTGTCGGTGGTGGGAATACATTCACTGTGGTGTGTGGTCCCGCTTCTGTTTGGTTGGGTGTTGGGTATGGCTTCTCAATTTTCACGTGAAAGAGTTTGCACCGATAGTAGCGACTCTGACTCTGCTGGTAGTGAGTATTCAGAAGAGCTTAATGTTGTTCCTCCTGTAGGACATTTTTCTTCTCTTTCTCAGGTTCATACGTTTCAAGGACTTGATATGGGTATTGTGGGGGCATATTTTTGTGAATGACAACACGTGGCCAATGTGGAACCGAAATGCCAACCGAGGTGCCACGTGTCTTGGTCATGGTGCCGAGGTGATCTCGGCTAGGCCGAGGTTATCTGCGGAGATACCGGAATCCGAGATGAGCGGATAAGGAACAAGAGTCCTAGAATGGGAGACGACCTCAGTCTAGAAAAAGATAAAGCTCTTAGGGAGTTTATCTCTATCTATTTGAGAGTCCAGAATAAACATTGAACCAGAGTCCATTGAAGCTAGGCTGCTACAGGGATCAGGTTAGTGCTGGCTATAAAAGTAAAGCGCCATCGTGGGTCTAAGGTACGCTTTTTGTATTCTAGCTAGGGAGTTAAGTTCTGTTTGCTATCTTTGAGAGATAATCGAGTATTGATTTGATCATCGGAGTGCCCCCGGGTGGACGAACCACTGCCGGAGTTTTATCTTTCTGTGACAGGTTGTTCGGGCGCAATCTATTCTGCCAGTGTTCTCCAGCTGAGTACCTGTTTGGCTGTGTTGTCAGAAATCAACACCCACAATTTGGCGCCGTCTATGGGAAAGAAAGGAGAATAGATGGCCAACGACGGGCATAAAGAGAAGATTGAGGACGACATCCTACTAGAAGTGGTAAACACATTGACCCCAACGTAGAGGAGGATAACTGCAACAAAGAATCTCGGGATAAGAATCCCGGAGAGAAAGACATCGGCCAGGAGGGAGACGTGCCAAAGAAGGCAGACTGAGGCGAGTATTATAACGAGAACGACCTCCAGGTATGGAAAGAAAGATGTCTGGGGAGGGACGACGAGAAGAAATGAATGACGAACAAATTAGAAGACCTACAATCGA